AGGCTTCTATACTATAATTCTAATTTTAAGGTATATATATTTTATAGAAATGATTACAGAAAGTTCATTCAGTCGTGATCCATTTTATAAGTGATGCATTGCATATGAGAAAATGATCCTCCCCTGTGAGCTGATTTTCAAATAACTGATCAGCATATACTATGTATTTCAGGCTCTGAACTATCACATAACTTAATTCTTATACATGTAGTTAATTTATAATGTGATTGGAAAACCTCCCTTTTTTGTATACCTCTTTTAATAAGATTAATATATTGATTGTATCTTGATATAGAATCAAAAATTTGTAATCTTTCGGAGGACATATTTATCCTAATAGATAGTTGCCGTTTTTCTATTCTTAGAATAATGCATTAAAGAATGCTCCACACAAGTTTATTATCTGATTCAACATGTTAAGCTTAATTATACTTCAAAGTAGAACAATCCATTTGCTTTTCATGAGGTTTGATTTTACTTGATATTAGGCCTCGTACCACTTGATTCATAGAGTAAGCAAACATATAGTTTAATCTCAACCTTCTAACTTGTGAACAATTTTCTAAATTCCTCATAATGCAAGTCAACTCTAGTTTAAGTATATTTACCAGGGAAGACATATCATCCTTGCGAAACCCTTGTATTTTGTGAATAATATCTGCAATGCGTTAAACTTTTTTTTGCTCAATCATTACAGTTAAACTACAATATATGTATTTAAACTACTCAAATTTGCACGCTACATATATTGGTTCTTTCTTCAGAAAAATATTTATCAATTATGTACTGGTTGTAGTTTTCTACTACCTTTATCACAAAATAGTAAGAAAATTTTAGAACAACCCAAAATTCATTACTTGTTCAAGGAGTCTTGATATCAAGCACACCAATCGTATCTAGAAATAGAAGCGGTATTAATTTGATCCTAACTAAAACAGATTCAAGAATATTTAAAGATTCGGATGATTTTCTCACTACTCGTAATTTGTAGGCTGCAATTAATATCACGAATATATTATGTGGTGATGTCTTGTATTACTGCATCAGTCTCACTTTATATAGTGCTTTTATTCCGCCCATACCTGGAAGGCAAATAAGCGACCTTATCTTCCACCACTGAATAAGCTGATTGTTATAATGCTTCTTCGTTTTGGTACAAGTAATCTTCATCAAGTTCGACTGATCATGTTTTTTATCTTGAGTTGCATCCCAATCACAACCAAAAATGAGTTTAAATGCAATTTTAAATCTTCTTAATAAATGCACTTTTTTATTCCAAGATAAGTGACTTTTGAAGATACGAATATAATGCTTAGCATTTTTTTGGGATTTGGAAATCATGTATGCTCTTCAAAATATTCTAAGCACACTCAGTGAATTCATTTATGCATAACCTATAAATATAAACTAATAAGTATTTAAATAGGTAGTGCTGTTTTAAATTTAGTAAATCAAAATGGATGACATATATCCAATCTGAACATGTAAAATGGTCAGAATATTTTTTGATATAGTCAAGGCCATTCCTAGCACAAATTTGGTATCCGTCTATAGGGTTTTACATCTACAAATTCTATTGATACTCTTTTGTTTTAAGTCTTCTAAAAAGCAACTACCCTTTGATTTAAACAATGGTTTTAAATCTATCCCTTAATAATTCATGAATTGTCCTTATAAGATAAGTGTTCCTGATGCTTCTAACCAAGGATTCTAGCATATTCTAAGTAGTGTACGATCAGGATTAACTAAATAATAATTAATAATAAATACCATTTGGCAATAAGGAGCTATTTTGAAGAGGTATGCTAAACTAGGAAAGCAAATCTTTATAGTTACTATCTGATTGAAGTATTTCGTTTGATGTTTGTACATTCCAAAGACGGATAGAGCTATCATCACTACCAGAAGCTAATGTAGTCCCATCAAGAGAGTAATAAATAGAATTTACTTCACTTGAATGACCATCTAATTTGGCTTTCTATTATCCTGTGTTAACATCCCATAAACGGATAGAGAAATCCCAACTACCAGATGCTAAAGTAGTACCATCAGGAGAGTAACAAATTGAATTAACACTATTTGAATGACCAACTAATTTGGCTTTTTATTATCCTGTCTTAACATCCCATA